TTCCTGCTCCTCTGATGCTGCCTGGCCTGCTGTGTTTCTCCAGCTCCACACTGTGTTATCTCAGACTCCAGCATCGGCAGCTCTTACTATCTCCTGGGACAAGTTGCTACTCGATGCTTCTCAATGTCAAGACCAACATAACTCCACACTGTCAGTTGCTTCTTCCATCCTACACACCAGCTCATGGCCAGGAAACATAACGATTATAGTCTTTTCAGGAGTGAAGTTCAGAAACACTTCTACACATAAGCAGTGGTACAAGTTTGGAGTGGTCATCCACAAACAGCAATTGACGCTAGGTTAATTGTTAATGATAAATCGGAGATTAATAGAGCTTTTTAAATGTGTGATTGTTAAGGGATATGGGGCAGGGCTGGGAATGTGGGGGTCAGCGGCAGATCATGAGGAACTATCTTTACATGCCAGGGAAACAATTGTTACTTTTGATTAAGAAATTATGCAACTCAAATCTCATAACTGCTCCTCTGAATGGAAAGACAAATTGAGCATACTGGTGCGTGGATACAGGCACATCCCAAGGTGCATGGCCTAAATAACAGGAGGTGACAGAGTAACATGAACCCCTTATTAACCATTTTATTAACATGTTGCTGGAGCATTTCCGAGCCAGTGACAGTGTTAGTAACTCAAAGGTTTCAATACGTTTTCAAGAAATGTGTTTCCAAAATACATAAATATTGTGGCTTACCTGCCAATTTTAGAACAAGGTTCTCCATCTGAAGCTACTCCTGCATTCTGATGAAACACACAGGCACTACATCTCTGAAACAGATGGAGAATTGCTCCAATACAAATAATAACAACGATAAACAGAAGGACCGCAATGATACAGTACATCTTCTTTCTGAAATTAAAACTGAGATATCATGGATTAGTTTCTAGTGAAACAACATTAATAATTAGACATAATAAACCAAGACCTTGCGACAGTGATAATCATATATTAAGCTACTATCACCAAATATTCCTCAAGTTTGTGGCTCGAGGGTAAGTAAAATATTCTTAAATATGTGTTGGATGGTTTCATACGGTACAATGGCTGAATTGTATTTGGGCTTAAAGTTCCCAAAAACAAGTTTGTCAATTTAAAAGCAAGAATAGATTAAATAAAATATTTTAAGGACTTTATGTACCTGTCTTGAAAATGCAGGAATTATAATTCCTCATTTAAACTCTCGCATTTTCTTCTCCTTCTGAGGTCAATAGTAAATCTTGAAGGTATCCGTGTTCAATATATCTGAAGAGGGGGGTTCTGCCATCTGTACCAGCCCACATGAGCTGATCATTGCCAATGTTGAACCTTGCTATGTACAAATTTGTTGTCGCATTTCTTTCATTCATATAGTAACTTCAAAGTAATGCACTTCTTTAGCTGCAAAGATCTTTGGAATGGTCTGACGTTTTGAAAGGCACTGTGCAAATGCTATTTGTTTCTTTAGAGATAAATTAAGATATTATGAAAACCACCTGTTACATTAAAAAAGGAACAAATATGCAGAGACTTCCCAGGCCAGGAATGTTCTAGAACCATACCTTTTATTGAATAACATAGCAACATAGGATTTGGGAGTGGGAGTAGGCCATTCAGCCCTTTCAACCTGTTCTACCATTCAGTAGGATTATGGCTGATCTGGTTGTGGGGTCGGAACACCAATTTCCTGAAGCCCATGATCCTTACCTGCCTTGTCTATTAAAAACTCTGACCTTGAATAAACTGAATGACTACAGACTCCACTGATGTGGATGAACATGGGGATCTAGTGCTGGCTTTCATACTCAGTTTGATGATACATGGGAAAGAATGTTGCGCGTGAGCACCCCAGCATCCATCTTTGCTTTTGGAATGAGGTTGTAAAGGTCTTGCAAGGGTTAATACTGTGAAGATTTCCATAAGCACCAACCACTATGATGATGTCATTTGGACTTTTGGCCAGAAAAGCCTAGGATTTTGAAGGAATGAGACCCAACATCCAGGTTCTCCTTATAGTTTCTGTGGCAATGTCAATCATTTTAATGCAACTTGTACATTCTTGCTTGATTGTAGTGAGGTCAGTCAGCTGGCCATCATAGAGTATGAGCTCCCTAATTGGGGCTGTTAATCTGGTCCAATCAGGGAGCCCTGGCTGACATAAAAGGGCGAATGTGAGGTATATTGAGATACTGAAAGCCTGACCTGGTGAGGGGTAGTGCTATTTTCGAAGGCTATGTTTTTGTGAATAAAGTATGATTGGTGATGGGCTGCCAGCCTTGGAAGAGTTATTCCATTGCTGACATGCAATATACTGCAGTTCGCTTCAGCTGCTGGTCATTTGACTATGATGTGGAGGTGCCGGTGTCGGACAGGGTTGGACAAAGTCAAAAATCACACGACACCAGGTTATACTCCAACAGGTTTAAATGAACACACGAGCTTTTGGAGCATTGCCCCTTCCTCAGGTGTAAAGGGCAAAGCGCCGAAAGCTTTTGTGTTCAATTAAACCTATTGGACTATAACCTGGTGTGATTTTTGACCTTGTCATTTGACTACGAAACAGTTTCCTTTACAACACAAGGCTAAGCAGGACCTATAGATCTCTGCACTTAAAGAAGACAGTTTCTATTTCTTTATTCATTCACAGGATGAGGGTATTGCTGACCAGGCAGCATTTATTGCCCATCCCTAATTGCCCAGAGGGCAGTTTACAGTCAACCACATTGCTGTGGGTCTGGAGTCCCATGTAACCAGACAAGGTAAGGATGGCAGTTTCCTTCCCTAAAGGACATTAGTGAGCCAGATAGGATTTTTCCCCAACAATGGATTCATGGTCATCATTAGATCTTTAATTCCAGATATTTATTGAATTCAAATTCCACCATCTGCCATGGTGGGATTCGTACTTGGGTCCCCAGAACATTATCTGGGTCTCTGGATTAACAGTCCGGTGATAATTTTTTTAAAATTCATTTGTGGGATGTAGGCATCGCTGTCTAGCCAGCATTACTTGCCCATCTCTAATACCACTAGGCTATTGCCTCCCCTCCCGTACGGTGGCATTAACCTACCTCATAGCGAGATGCAGACTGAACATGCAACAAGTACTTGTGCCATCTCTTTGAGGGAGGGGATCTCAACAGTTTACCCCGTTCCACCTGTACCTTTTCTCACTGCTGTACAATTTCTTCCAATACAAAGTCTTTATCCGATTCCCTTTTGAAAGTTAAAATTTCTGCCACCCTTTCAAGAGAGTGCCCTGTGGATCAAAGCAACAAGAGGAAGGGAAAAATACATTTACCTGGTTTTTATTCTTTCAGAGTCACTTCTTGCAGGACGGTTATTGTCATCCTGTTTAATCTCAGATTGTAGCGGCTTTGCATTCGAAACATCTTCGCTAAGCACATTGATTTCAGTTGGATTTTCCTCGACCATTTTTAGGTTTGTTGAGTTCGGAGCAGCATAGATTTTCTGTGACCGAGGTCTTGAATTCACATGAACAGTAGTTCCTTTCTCTCAATTAACAATCACTTGTGATTCCTCCCTCAGATCACCATGGCAATCGCTTTGCAACAGTTGCTGTTAAAATGAAAAGTTGATGTCCCCAGTTGGATTGAAATGAGAGAAATTCTGGTTCTGATACTGATGTTAACAACCCACCTAACTGCAACATTGGCTATTATTGGATTAAGGTTTAGCCAATTAGAAACAGCATTGTAAACACTGTACAGATTATTGCGGGGGAGGGTAAACAGTGGCAGAATCAAAATGATGCTTCTGAATGTGACAGGGTATGAATGTGGATGACCCAGACTGTAATAATTCTTTAACTCTGTTAAAGTATTGACTAAAAGAGCAACAAGCTGCAAATGCTGGGAAGCTGAAACACTCGCAGCAAATGCTGGAAACAGGTTCATCAACAACCATAACGAGAAAAAAAGAGATGTTCATGTTTTGAATGGATGTTAGACATGAAACATTAACTTCACTTTTCTCTTCCCAGATGCTAGCTGTCGTGCATTGCCTAACAAAAGCAGTTACGTGTCAAGAGTATTTCATTGGCTACAAAGTGCTTTAGAAAATCTTCAAGTATATTTTTAAAAAATCTCCTAGTTTCAGTTACGTTATTTAATTTTTCACCCACCAACATCCACTTTCAATATGCAAGGATCGCACACCCAAAATCTGTTTCATGGACATTCAGTACAACTATTTTCAAGGACTATTTCAGTTGGGAAATTATGGTTTAAATCACTTTAAATATATGCTATATCCCACCCACTCCACCAAAATGTTGTAGATATGCAGGATATGAAGGAAGCTTTCCTTCAGTTACTGAGCATTAGAAAGACATTTGCATTCAAGTAGCACCTTGCACAAATTCAGGATGTTCAAAAACATTTTACAGCCAATTAAATTTCCTTTTTTTTGAAGGGTAGCCACTATCACAATGAGGACAAATGTTAGTGACATTGAGCATTTTATGGGGAGTTTAGCCCCTTGCATTTCATTCTTTAGAATAATTATTCCCACCAGGCATGTAATGTTGCTTGTTTACAGTAATCAGATTAGCTATTCCTCAGCACTGGGATTTGTTATCATTTTAGAAGCACATTCAGCGAACAGAATGACAACAAATTCCAACAAGTAAAACAGACTATATTACATTTTTGAAGAAGGGTCTAGACCTGAAACGTCAGCCTTCCTGCTCTTCTGATGCTGCCTGGCCTGCTGTGTTCATCCAGCTCTACACCTTGTTATCTCAGATTTTCCAGCATCGGCAGTTCCTACTATCTCTGAGATTATATTCTATGTCCATTTACTGGAAAGTCCCATTCTAACTTAGCCCCAGGAAAAGGACACAGCAAATAACAAGATTTGAAATAACTCTACAGTTAATCCTTGGGGTTGCCACACCTGTACAACTCAGTCAAATTATACATTGCTCCCTGATGGAGCACCTCCCAAATGGAGGTATAATTTATTGTTTCTTGATTTAGTTATTAAAGGGAGATAGGAGAAATGAGGTTTGTTTCCTAATCCTAATATTTTAACACCACCTTGTCTCAAATGTTAAAATCACAATCAATCTATCAATGAGTTTCCAGGTCTTTGATTTGATTTATTGTCACATGTACTGAGATACAGTGAAAAATATTGTTTTGTGTTGCTATCCCGACAAATCATACCTTACATAAGTGCATCAGTGTAATAGAACAGAATGCAGAATATATTGTTACAGCTACAGAGAAGGTGCAAGGAGAGATCAACTCTAAAGTATGAGAGGCCTGTTCATACATCTGATAACAGTGAGGAAGAAGCTGTTCTTGAATCTATTGTTACATGTTTTCAAATTTGTATTCTTCTGCCCGATGGAAGAGGGAGGAAGAGAGTATAACAGGGGTCTTTGATTATGTTGGCTGCTTTCCTGAGGCAGTGGGAAGTACAGACAGAGTCAATGGATGGAAGGCTGGTTTACATGATGGACTGGGCTGTGTTTGCAACTCTCTGTATTTTCTTGTGGTCTTGGGTAGAGCAGTTGCCATAGCACACTATGATACATCCAAATAGGCTTTTTTTTATTGTGCACCTATAAAAATTGGTAAGAGTCCTTGTGGACATGCTGAATTTCCTTCACCTTCTGAGAATTTAGAGGCAATGGTGTGCTTTCTTGATTGTAGCTTGGATGGACCAGGATAGATTGTTGGTGATATTTATGTCTAGTAACTTAATGCTCTCAACCACCTCCACTTCAGCACCATTGATACAGAGAGGGAGGGTGCCCTCCACTCTGCTTCCTAAAGTCGAGGACCAGCTCCGTTATTTTGCTGACATTGAGGGAGAGATTGTTGTCATTACACCATGCCACTAAGCAATCAATCTCTTTCCTGTACTCTGTCTTGTTGTTATTTGAGATCTGACCCACCACGGTGGTGTCATCAGCAAATTTGTAATTGGAGTTAGAGCTGAATTTGGCCATACACTCGTGAGTGTATCAGGCGTATAGTAAGGGGCTGAGTATGCAGACTTGCGGGGTACTGATGTTGAGGAATATTGTGGAGGCCTGGCAGTTCCTTGTTATTTCTAAAATTGAGCCCCCCACCATGTCTAAGATGCTTAATTTAAAAAAATGAGATTAAGACAAGGTTTGACTTTGCAAATTAATAAAGAACAAATACACTGTGGGAAATGAACAGTGGGTCAGCCACCTTCTGAAACAGAAATATTGATCAACATTTCAAGAAAACTCTTCATCAGAATTAGCTTCTGTCCCATTGGCCCTGTCTTTCTCTAAAACTTCATACTTTACTTCACATTTCCAACATTTGTAGTTCTCCTTTTCATTCCATCTTTATAAAAAAAATTATGATTGTCACCTTGCTCATTCATGAAGTGCCAGTTGTGTGTAAAGTGGACAAGAGATCATCAAAATTTCCACAGTATTTAAAAACTGTGATCTCCTCAAAGAATGTCCGAGGGCTAATTTTGCAAATTTTTCCTAGCAAAATGCTGAGAACATTGGGAGTGAGGGTTGTAGAATCTTCCCTTTGTGTTAAATCACATATCTGTGACCAATCAGGCCAGTCTCTAGTGCATTGTACAATTACAATGTTGTTTAAGCTTTATGACCTTGTCACAGTTCCTTAATTATGTTACAGCCCTGCACAAATCACAATTGTAGTTGTCTCAATATTTTGTGACTCATTATACTTGTTCTGAGCTCAGTAAGTAGAAAGAATAGATAAGCAGAGAAGGCTGAGGGGGGGATGTGATAGAGTTGTGTAAGATTATGAGAGGTATGGACAGGGTGGATTGAAAGCAATCGTTCTCCTTAGTTGAAGGGTTAATAACAAGGAGACGTAATTTTAAAGTGAAAGCCAGGAGGTTTAGAGATTTCACCAGGTTATAGTCCAACAGGTTTATTTGAAGACGCAAGCTTTTGGAGTCTCACTCCTTCTTCAGGTGTCAGTGAGAGAGGTGGCATCAGACACAGAATTTATAATGATCAAAGGTTCCTAGCATTGATGCAAATGTATTGAACAAATCTAAGATGGTTGTTAAATCTTTAATCAGTTAGAAAGGATTAATATGCATTTCCCAGGATTTCTTTCAGGTCACAGCCCCAAGATAACTGAAGGTTTTATCAGTACACCAGTGGTGTCATCTCAGGTCAGACAATGCATTTAGGTGTGAGGCTTGTTTAGAATCTGGCTGTGTGTTAACTTGGAGTCAGACTGGTTTTATTTCCAAAGTAGGAATTTATGAAATGCCACACTGACTGTTTACAAATTGTATGCTTTTTGAACAAAATAGAAAGTATTACAATTACAAATCTACAACTGCAAATTCACCTCACAGATTTATGTGTTTGTGTGTGTGTCTGTGTGTGTGTGTGTGTGTGTCTGTTTGTGTGTATGTGTGCATGTGAGGGAGAGGGAGAGAGTGTGTGTTTATGTGTGTAAGGGAGAGAGAGTGTGTGCGTGAGAGAGAGCATATGTGTGTGTGTGTGTGCATGTGTGTGTGCGTGTGCGCATCTGTTTGTGTGTATGTGTGCATATGAGGGAGAGGGAGAGAGTGTGTGTTTATGTGTGTAAGGGAGAGAGAGTGCATGTGTGAGAGAGAGCGTGTGTGTATGTGCATGCGTGTGAGGGAGAGATAAAAACTGTGTGTGTGTGTTTGTGTGCATGCTTGAGAGAGTGTGTGAGTGTGTGTGCATGTGAGTGTGATGTGTGTGTGTGTGAGAGAGAGTTTGTGTATGAGAGTGGGTCTGTGTGAGCATGTGATTATGTGTGTGTGAGTGTGTTTGTGTGACTGAGTGTGTGTGTGTGAGTGTATGTGTGAGACTGTATGGTGTGGTGTATCACCTGTAGTGCGATATGAACTCAAGATCCTGGTTGAGGCCATCCTCATGGATACAGAATGTGGCTATCAGCCTCTGCTCGGCGACTCTGCGTTGTTGTGTATCCCGATGTCCACCTTGGAGAACGTTTGCTCAAAGATCTGAGTCTGAATGTCCTTGACCGTTGCAGTGTTCCCCAACTGGGAGGGAACATCCCTGTCTGGCGAATGTTGCGTGGTGTCCATTCATCCATTGTCATAACATCTGCATGGTCTCACTAATGTACCATACCTCGGGGCATCCTTGCCTGCAGCGTATGAGAGAGACAACATTGGCCAAGTCACATGAGTATCTGCCGTGCACATGGTGGGTGGTGTTCCCATGTGTGATGGTAGTGTCCATGTCAATGATCTGACATGTCTTGCAGAGTTCACCATGACAGGGTTGTATAGTGCTGTGGTTGATGTTGTCCTGAAGGCTGGGTAGTTTGCTGCGAACGATGGTCTGTTTCAGGTTTGGCGATTGTTTGAAGGTGAGAAGTAGAGGCATGGGGAAGATATTGGCGAGGTTCTCATTGTCAGCGATAATGTGTTGAAGGCTGTGAAGAACATGGCGTAGTTTCTCCATTCCCAGGAAGGACTGGGATGACAAAGAGTACCCTATCAGACCTATCCTGTGTCTGCCTTCTGAGGAGGTCATTATCATTTTTCGCTGTGCATGTCGGAACTGGCGATCAATGAGTTGAGCTTTGTAT